CCCAACTATAAAAATAAGTGCCACAACAGTCTCCTGCACCAGAGCAATTTTCAAGAGGACACAGTGAGACAGTGTTGCAGGAGCCACATTGTTCTCTCTGCTAAAACTGCTTCATTCACTACAAATATATTGGCTTTTAACAGTTCTTTTTCAGATGAATTTCTACCAAAGAGAAAGAATTATGTTCTACAGCATGCATCCGTATGAAAGGAAAAGCATTATGCTGGGACAATAGGGTTTATTGCAACAGCAGAATGTATCTTAAATGCAAAATTATACCAACACTATGAGTTTACCAGTTTAATCATAGCTTGAAAAAAATAAATACAGCAGACATTACAAAAACTCATTTATATGAAGTTTTTACACTGGGTGCACAAAAACAGAAGAGTAGAGCCAGAAGTGTAATGGCAGCAGAACAGAACGTCTCAAGCCCCTGAAATGCATCACAACTGTGAACAACTAATGGAAAGACTTATAAAATATAAATATAAAGCCATAGATATAAACAAAAGCCATATAAAAGGTAGGTAATAAAGCCATTAGGACAAGGAGGAATGGCTTTAAACCAAAAAAGGGTGGATTTAGATTAAATAGAGGGAAGGAATTGTTCCCTGACAGGGTGGGGAGGCCCTGGCACAGGTTGCCCAGAGAAGCTGTGGCTGCCCCTGGATCCATGGAAGTGTCCAAGGCCAGGTTGGACAGGGCTTGGGAGCAACCTGGGATTGTGGAAGGTGTCCCTGCCCATGGCAATGGTGACACTGGATGAGTTTAAGGACCCTTTTAACCCAAAGGATTCCTCACTCCATGATTCCATCATGTCAATGAAAGCAATAAGCCTTAACGAATTAAGGAAGAGATCCTCTCTTTCCTTGAAGTCCTTCCTGCCTTCCCACCTTTCTTTTTCAGGAAGAAAATGGGCAATGAACAAACGATTCACAGCCAAGGACAGAGCAACACAACTCTCTCCAGCTGGTAACAGATTATAATGGAAACTCATGGGCAAACACCAGGCTGGTGTTAGAAACAGGAAAACTGCCAAAAACAAGAGGAGGCTACAAATGCCCTGGAGAAGATTTTCTCAGTGGATAAAATCAGTACAAAACTTCCCGACCTACCAAGTTCAACCATTTCTACCAAAACAGGTCAAAACAAATTGAGATTTGATTGAGATTTTCTGAGCATGCTCCTCCTGAACCTACACATTTTCTCGCAGTCTGTCCTCTCCACAGCCTCTGCAGGTGCTTTAATCTGGGATGGAATTTTTATTACCAAAATTTTTATTAGCTGTGGAAAATGAAAATTTTAATCATCTTGATTAACGCTGTACTGTCTGTAGAGTTCTTAGTTTTTACTTGCTGTGCATTAGATGAACAAGAAAAGACTTTATTTCTATTCCTGTCTGTAGGACTGGAAAAAACACAGCAGTGGGGCTTCCAAAACAAAACCACACAGAAATCTTTCATGGAGCAAAGCTCTGTATCTACTCTTACACTCCAGCTTGGTGTTATGCTGAGGTGTAAAAGGGACGAAGCTTCGCATGGAAAAACCAATACAATGGAAACCTCTCGGTGCTGAAATCCGAAGTTTGCATTTGCAGAATGAGGACTAGACCCTTGTTATGTGTCAGGAAAAAAGAAGAAACTCTTACATGCATAATCCAAGAGGATGGTCAAAGAAATTTTCCACTTTGATGAAATTTAGCAAAGAAAAAAACCCAATGTTTTTATCGTGCTTCTTCTCTTATTCTTTTAATTTTAATTCATATGGAAGAGCTTTTCATTGTAGTTTACTGAACTCAACCAAACCATTCCAGTTTCCTCTGGCATTCAGTAGAAGTGCTGCGTCCGTATGAGGGAGACACTTTTCTTGGGATCTGATCAATTCCTAAACTGTGGATCTGAAAGTCTCTGAACCATCAGTCATGGACCAGGGAACTGCTGGATGTCCCATCCCTGGAAGTGTCCAAGGCCAGGCTGGAGGGGACTTGGAGCAGCCTGGCATAGCGGAAGGTGTCCCTGCTCAAGATCAAGGATTGGAAATTCCCGGATTTCTCTTCTATTAATCTGCTGATTAACAAGATAAGAGCACACAGAGCAAACAGTGGTGCAAACACTGTGCATTTCCTGTCATAAAACCCCAAAATTTGATAGTACAGAGGTTGTGACTTCAGATAAACCAGAATTTGACACAGGCTGAAGAGGTCAGCAGCAAACAGGAGAAAAGATGACACCAAGACTCTGCTTGATCCTGGCAAACTTAGCAAAAATAGGTGATAAACAAATGTAAAGGAAGACAATAATGGGAATTTTTTTCATGAGCTATGATTTATCCCTAAAAACTTTTTCAATTTCATAGCATCCAATAAATATGGAAAAACTGTTTTAGTGACTCAGCGGGACAGATGTACACTGGGCATAACTTATTTATAGAAAAAAATAGGAAAAACACGGATGTCCATAATTATTAACAGTACAGTCTTCTATTATTTCTAAAACAATTTCATTAAGAAAATTATCAGAATCAGCTCACAGATCCTGAACAACTGTGAGCTATTCCTCATCTATAAATATTTGACAATATAACTTAAAAATACTACAAATTAGTATTTTTATATTCTCACCATTTTTTCTTCTTTTTCCCAATTATTTATGGTCAATAAAGAGAGTGGCTCAAAGGACTGATGGGACAACTTCCCTAATCACCTCCTAAAGGTGTTTATTCCTCCACAATGACTACAATAGTAACTCAACTCACTTAAATGACATTTTAAGAGTTACAGTGGACGAAATAATATTGACTTTGCTCAAATTTTTTGTGGCATGGATAAAGACTGTGGCTTATATGGAATAAAGAAGTGGAATTCCACCCAAGTCAATCCCACTGTGCCAAGAGAAAACACCTTGGAATGGTGGACTACAAAATAAGCAATTATTCTGGATTAATGGTAAAGAATAAATGGAAAATTGAAAGAGCCTTAAAATATATACATCAAATATAACTTTTTAAATTTTTTTTACTATTGTTATAGATGCTGAGGACACCTCAGCACATGGAGTTCTACCACATGCAGAATCTCAAGACAACCTCCCATGGCTATAGAAATGCAAAATAACACCCAAAACCGCTATAAACTGCATTTTAACATTTGTATTATTGTCCTGCAACCATTTTTAGGGAGAATCCACAGTCATACTGAGAACTGCTCATCTCTTCCTTGTCCAATAACCACAAGGGTTCAGAGTAAGAGCTGATTTTTTAAAATGTTTTGATGTCAATATAAAAGGCACAAACTAAGCCCATTCCAGGCCCATTTTGATCTCAAACTACTTTGACCCTAATTAAAACAGCAGAGTAAACCTTGGTTTATGTCTATTAATCACCACAAGTGAAATCAGACATTGGCCCATCACAGTATCAAACATGATGCTCTAATGTGAAATACTATCTGTAGTTTAATAACAAAAATTAAGTTAAACCCCAACCACCAACCCTCACCTCCACACTGAAATATGCCACATTAAGGAACTGTACAATCCAATCTAAAATAGATATTAATGATTCATTAAGAATTAAACACAAATTGTTAATTTATGAAGTTATTAAACCTATCCAATAATTAAGGATCATAGATGAATGGTGGCAATGAATAACCAGATTAAAGTATCCAGAAAAGTCCAGCTGATAAAGAAAATACATAAATACAATAAACCATGTCAAATTACACCAGAAATTCCATTTGTATGCAATCCAACCAACGTTCAGGTTCCAACCATTTAAACCTTGCAATTCCAATTTCATTTTTAAATTGCCAAGTTGGGATATTTTCCAAAAAATTAGCACTTAGATGAACTTTCAAAATCAAAGAGTTCAGCAGGAACAAAAAATATTTTATTATGTAGGCCAAAAGAAATGAGCAGTAGTGTGTATCTCATTTAGGAACCCAAAATGTACTGGCGAGATATTTGAGAGATAAACAGTGCTTCCAGCATTGTAGGAACAGCTTCAAAATAACTTCAGTGAACACAGATGTTGAAATATTTTTACAAATATCCCTCTTTATAAATGCACTGCAAGGACCCACATGTTGATCATGTTTAAAACCTGAATTTATGAAATTATGTAGGTACTTGGGAGAAAAATGTAGTTATTTTAGTGTATCACTTAGAAATGTAATGGTCATTTTAATATTTCCCTTAGAGGCAGCATCATAAATGTTTCCTGTTGTTTTCTGAGTTTTAATAGGGACACCCAGTAAAGATTTGGTTTGGAATGCCACGATTAAAGAAAACAGCAAATGCTTTGAGACTGCACAGGATTTCTGAGAAATAATGGGAATTCCTTCCAGAATTCCCCACAGACAGACAAACTTAGGGCACTGTTGTGATGCAAACTCAGCCCAGCACATCCCCGTGTCCCCAGGCACATCCCATGGCAATGCCTGCGCAGGAACAACAGACAAGAACCACACAGAGAGCAGAACTCAACTCCTCCAAACACTCCCCTTCCACCCAGGATCCATTTGAAATCCCCCACGGCACACCTATTCCCACACTGAGCTGCTGAGGATATCTTTTAAGGATTTAGAAAGGCAGAATAATAGAAATTTTTCTTCAAAACTCCCTAAGAAACCTTATTAAAATGTTTCAGTGAACCAAATAGTAATCACAACAGCATCTTACCCACTATTTAACTACAGCATCTTTCAAAAGGCTCACTGATGTAGTAAAAAATCAAACAGATCTTGCTAAGAAACCAATTTAATGTAATATTAAGTAACCCAAGTTTTTGACATCATCAAAAAGAGCAGTTAATTTTAGCAGTCTCATAATCCAAATGCCACAGTTAAAACACAAACACATTCCTACTAAAAACCTTTCCATTAAGGTTGTTTCTTCCCTTCAGCAGGGAAGAATGAGGGAAATGCACTTGTGCAGCATGCCAGGAATTGCACATCTCAGGCTGAACAATCCGGTTTTTAAGGACAGGGTAATACTTACTCCAAGCGAAGCCGATCCATAAAAATCTACGGTTTACAGTTACTCCCTGAAATAATAATGCTGATTGTCACAGCAGCAGGAGGATAATCCCAGCACATCCAGGCCTAATAGGCAGTGTGATCATATTTGCTCCCAGGAAATCAGAAGGCAGGTACCTCTCTCCCTGAAAAACCAGGCACCTTTGGAGAAAACAATGGACTTTTAGGTCCTTCATTTTATGGAAATCGTAAAGCGTCCACGCTTCAGCCGTCACTGATTTTCTTAGTCCATTTTCTTTTAATTCCTGAGAAAAGAGCAGATTTTTTCACTGTTTGCAGCAAACAGGTCCTGTAACTACAAGCTGAAGTTTCCATATCCAGTGCCATCAACTGTGTCATCTTCAAACATCCCTCACTTGGCAGCAGCCGATATTTTTCCATCTCTTGTTGCTTCTAAAAGTAGAAAATTTCAGCGATTCCAGAGGCTCTCTAGGAAGATGCACTGAAGGGAATGTTTGAGAGCAGGAGCAGAAAAACCATGCTCTGATTTTGCCCTTCAGGCACAGCCTGGGTGTCTTCGGCGTGTCCTGCTGGGTCTTCAGGTTTGTCCCTAAAGGCTGGGACATGGAGCCAGGACAGCACCAAGCAGCAAAAACAAACGTTGTGGCTTTAAGAACATACTCACTTTTCTATTGAAGTCACAACTTTCTCTCTACTCTTATTTCACTGCTGGGTCAGATGAAATCTTTAAGGAGGTTCCATTAAAAGTTCGTTTCTGTCGAGAGAAACGCTGGAATTCCCGTTCCGAACGTATTCCGAAGGAGGTCAGGTTCGGTTTTAAAGCATGTTTGTGTCGATGAAAAGTTTTTGTTTTGCTGCAAAAAAATTAAAATTCTCCCTTTTATTTACACATTCCCTCTGTAATCTTCCAAGTTACTCGGCTCCCTTACAGTTTAATCAGACATAGGGGAAAAAAAAAAAAAAATCACCAAATATCGTATTTCCCATATGTACAAACTGACATTGTGGAGGCTTCATTAAAAGCTTTTATTTCTCTGCTCACTGCTAACTGGACGTCATTTAATGTCACCACCACTTCCCAAGAGCCCAAGAGACTTAAAAAGCGACGGAAGTTTGAAAACCAAAAAAAAAAGTTGTGAGTTTTTCTGTACCCCAGGACGGTTTTCTTTCGCGAAGCTCAAGCCGAGACAGCAGACAAAAGAAGCTGATTTGACTGAGCCGTGCCAAGTCTTGCCTTTTTTTCTTCCCTCGCCTCGCTCGCTCTCTCGCTCTCTCGCTCGCTCGCTCCCAGCATGGCAACCTTCCCGAGCAGTCTTGGCGGAGCTCCAGCCTGTGCCAGCCTGTCTGAATCCTTGTTTTCCAAAAAGATGCTCTTTGCGAATCAATTAATAGATTTCCAAACAGGAAACTGTGGGTCAGTAACCAAATCTTGGCACCAACAGCAGCTTCTCCTGCCAAATCGGCTTTATAGATTTCATGGTTGCCTACCTTTTACAATGGATGCAACGTTTGTGCTCCCGGATCGTGGAGCACTGGAAGCCATTCCCTGTTCTCGCAGGGATAAGAAATCTGCTCGCTAAAAATGTCCGCATGCGACACATGAACAACCTGCAGTAAATCAAGACTCTTTGGAAGGCGGGCGTTATGTGTAATTTTAATAAGCACCAAATACTCCTTAAAATAATGTGTTTTCATTCTCTCCTCCCCAGAATCATGGGAAGGTGCCAGGAGCAGGAGACGTATAGATTTGAATTAAGATCACACTCAGAAGTCACACACGTTTTAACTTTATCTGAACTCCAGCTTGAAAAGAACCAGTCTTCTCAGTTCCACCATTATTAAAAATCAGCTGAAAATTAATAAGAAATTGGATCCCAGCTCATACACAAAAAATCTCCCCACATCCGTAGAGCCAATGATGTCATCTGTTAATTCAACAGCTCAAGTTCTTGTGGCACTCAGAGCAGAAATGGCTCAGCATTAACAGTCAACTCTGGTGGGAAATTTTCTGATGCCTTGCAAGACTTAAAGGATAGAAAATTATATTTGGAACTTCATTCAAGATATTCTAAATGACAAGAATTCATGTGAGGAAAATTACAGGAATAAACTTTCTTTTATCTTCAAGCTATTTGCCAAGGCAAAATGCCAACTTTTTAAAATACATGCATTACATTAATGAGCTAAATAGAATATTCTGAGGGAAAAAACCTTCCTGAAATGTTTAGTTTTCTAAGTTTATCCAATAGAGAGTCTCAGAAGTTCACAGGATCATAGAATGGTTTGGGTAGGACACTAAAGACCATCCAGTTCCACCCCCTGCCATGGGCAGGGACACCTTCCACCATCCCAGGTTGCTCCAAGACCTGTCCAGCCTGGCCTTGGACACTTCCAGGGATCCAGGAGCAGCCACAGCTTCTCTGGGCAACCTGTGCCAGGGCCTCCCCACCCTCACAGGGAACAATTCCTTCCCCCAGTATCCAAGGAAATCCCTCTCTGTTTCTAAAGGTTCCATTCTGTCAGAGATTGGGTGACCTTATCTAATGATTTTTTTTAAAAAACAGGTTCATTCTCCACCCTTTAGACCTCAGACATCCACACAAGGTTCCCCTTGTGTGACTGTAACAGACCCATCCATGTTTTTCCCAGTAGCCTCCCAACTTCAGAAGAAACATCATTAACTTTAAAATCACATTTTTGCCTCAAAATATTGCACACTCTCTCATTTCCATTTGCACCTTGCATCCTCACGACAGGGCCAACTTGGGTAAAAAAAAAACTATGTATAGTCTTTCTATTCCTTTTCTTTGTGCACTTGACAGCAAACTCTAATATGTCACTTTGCCTTTACTGAAAGACCATCAGGCATCAACACGGGAACAAAAAGATCTCATGGAAATTATTGACAGTGGAATTAACTCTGAAAGGCTACACCACTGCAGCAGTCACTATTAAATGCTCAGCTTTTAATTAGTTTTCCTTCAAAAAATGTATGTATTGACAACAGGGGACTTCAGCAATACTAAAAATATATATAAAATTCCAAGAGAGATGAATTATTTTAACTATTCCTTCTTTACTCTTAATGAAAGTTAAGGCAGTAAAAGCAAATATATTCCTCAGCAGCCAAATGTTTTCCTGAAAAGAATTTGCTAACAGGATGAAGAACCTTATTTTATCCCTCAAAATACTGGTCCAAAGGCAGTGGACCCAACAAAAGTGGATTTCATGTGCAGGAACTCTCAGGAGTCCACTCTTCCTACCTTAAAGCCTTTTGTCCCTGGTGTATTTTACTGCAGCTCTCCTAATTCTCTCTCTCAAGGACTCCAACTGCACCACTCCACTGGAATTGTTCCCAGCTCCCTCTGTGACACATTCCAAGATGCATCCTCCAGCCCAAGGTGTTGATATCTCTCAATGGAACTCATTTCTCCTCCTTCACTTCTTCTCCTTCACATAAAAAAGTTTCCAGCCCAATTAATTGAGCATTCAAGTAACCTCCAACCAGGAAGAAACCATAAAACTTTCTCCACATCTTGTTTTGGGCCCTTTTTTCACATTTTCTGCCTGGTTTTCACTGTGTTCCCTCCTCAGTTCCTCCAGTTTGCTCTTCTTCTTGTTGTCTCCCACAGTCCTGAAGTCAGCCCTTTCCTCTCCTTCCTGCACAAAGTCTATGGATTTTTCCTTGAAAGGCTGCAATAATCCAGCACTCAGCTTCCAAATAACTGGACCTGACACTAGGTTCTGTATTAGTGACTCCATAAAGTGCTTTTCTACCCTCACATGTTTCTCCTGAGCATTCTCCCCTCTTCAGCTGTCCTACTGATGTTTCTTTCATGTTATTCTCTTCCAATGCACAAAATATGGAAAGAGTCAAATTCCTCATCATTCCAAGTATTTTCCTATCCATCTCCAATCCAAATTGGACCACCTTTGATGTTTACCATTACAGAACCACATGAAGCTCTGTCCTTCAACACCATCTATATCCCCATGTTCACAGAAAAATCCCCAAATTTGTCCTTTTGCAGTATCCTAGCTATCCCTGGTCTTTCTTTGAAGCATTAGGAAAAAAATTAATATTGATTTGCGCCTTGGTCATCATTCACTTCAATTTTTTTTTTCCATCTTGGACTTGATGATCTTAGTGCTCTTTTCCAACCTTAATGATTCTGCGATCTTTTATGCATTTTACCTTCATGCCCCTGGAATTTGTTCATTTAAAATTCTCCCAGTGAAAGCCTCCTGATGTCATCATATTCCCTTTTATCCAGGTATTTTTCCATCTCTCTCAAATGCCTCTATGTCTCCCCAGTGGGGTATACCTGGACACCTGTCCCTGTGCACCTGGGAAGTGAGAATGATTTCCCTCCTCCCAAGTGGAAAACTTCAGAATAGAAGAAGTAACTCATTCATTTAAGCTGTTCTATTCGGAATATAAGCCCAAAATGTTACTTTCAAATGTCAGATATAGCTTTTTATTTCCCTTTTTCTTTTCCTTGCTGGACACCTCAGTGTCATGGACCAATGAAAGCTGTGTAATGCTTCATCCTGACCACCTGACACGAAGTCAGTCTGGCTGTGACAGCCCCCAAAATATTTTATTTTAAAAACAAACACATTGGAATATCTGGTGTATCAGGGCTAACTTTATCAGTCTTTCTGCTACCACACTCCTGTTATCATTTGTGGGCATTTCCATTAGAGACAAGTGAAGCCAATGCCTCTGAGGACAAGCCAGAGGTTTTTTAGGAGTCTAATTTCGGAGCCCGATGCTTTGCTGATTTATTATTGAAGGGTGAAAGTGCATCATGTGACAGGAAAAAGGCTCCTTTTACCTGGGCTGTTCATACTGAGATGATGGCAAAGAATTTCCTATTGACTCTCTATTTTTCTGGGTTTTATTATTAAACAGCAAACACTGGGGAAGCTCTAAGAACATAAAAGTGACTGTAGCTGTTATATAGAAACCAATAAAACAAGAAGGAACACTGAGAGAAGGAAAAAAAGAAGGAATATTGCTGCCACCCAGAAGAGGCAAGGGAAGACAGTGAGAGCTGAAGTCAACGTATCCAGAATTAACCAAATAAAATGAAAAAAAAAATACAAGAACACAAGAATGAAGTCCTATAAATTCATGAAATAATGGACCATGAAAGACTAGACCTGCAAGGTCCTCGGGTCCTGCAGATTCCCAAGGTCAGTTGATATAGTGACCACCTTTGGCAACTTCTTTTGCACAGTTTTGCACATCCCCAATTAATTCTGGTCCAGGGTGGGCTGTGTCTTCCTGGCAGCTGCCCCCCTACTAGCTGCACTTACCATTTATCATTTTGACAACATTATTTATGGCTGACTGTGGTCCTTCCCATGCCATGGAAAACATTAGCCCCAGGAATGGAGAGTTCCAGCTGAATCCAGGTGAAAATCAAAGCAGCGGATCCGCAAGCCCCGGTGGGTTTAGGGCTGGCACTGTCCCACTGTGGGGTGGAGTCTTCCAGCTTTGCAAGGCAAATAAATGACAAGATCAAACTCTATGGGAAGCTGTCAACAACTTCCTAAAATCACTGTGGGATTATCCTTCAACTGCTCATCATGTGCTGGCATTCTGCCCCAGTTTGAAATTCCAAATCCATGGGTCAATCTCCACTAAATGTGCTCTTCTTCAGTTCCTTTAAAACCAGATGGTTTCCAGAGTACAGCAAACTCAATTTGCATTCCTAGGTTAAAATATTTTCCCATTCTCTCCATCCAGTACCACCCAGAATACTTCCAATATAAAGTGTAACATGGATTTTTAAATATCGTTGGTATCATTGTTTATTATCTCCTTTTAGTTCTCAGGAGAAAAACAGTTACAGGCAGGGATGAGTGGCATTTAAAAAGTGATTGCAGTGTGCAGCATGAAAAATAAATGCACAGAACTTGAGG